GGACATTTATGGCACTAATAGACACATATAATGTACCATAATGTTGATAAACTAACAGATCTATTGGAGGTACTAGAGATATTAGACATTTCTGTCAACATGCTTTTTTAATAGATTCATTTGATTGTTAACGTGCACTTTTGACTAAAAAGTGGTTGTTGTGTGCTGAAAGTGGGGTGCCAGCACACTAACATATGGTCAAGTGTCTAGGTTATGATTTGTCCTCAGACTCAGGAACTGGGACTTAGATGGGTTGGGGTTAGGGCCAGTTCTAAATGTATTGGGATCATTAAAAGCATCAGAAAGCCAGGAAACATAGTCTCACCAGCCTCTAAACTGTTGGACTGTCATGTAACGTCATCTAGAGTAAGATATTAATAAAGAACCTGAAACAGGTCATTGTGAAAACCCTACGTCCAATAAGCAATATGATAAATTATTCTTTATCTATTTTAGTGCACTGATTATTGTATGGGAGATAAATAATTAAAACTAATGTTATAAAAATTGATTTTAATTTATTTTTAAAATTGTGTTTCCAAATGTGTTTTTCCTTGCCTTTGACTGTCCGCAGTTTACCGGCAAGACAGCGAGGCTGTGTGTCTCGTTAACTGTACCTAGCCTACCTTCAAGGCAACAGGTATGTGCCCTGAAAAGAGTACACAGACAAACCAGTAAGAATATGGTGTCGGAGCGAAATGTCCCCCAAAGGGAAGTCCTGTCACCAACATTGTTCCAGCCATATATAAATGACATTTCAAAATGTTTTCCGCCCAGCGTACACGCCGCGTCTCGTCTTTTTGAGGCCGTATGGCTAAACAGACTTCTGAAATGTATATTGTTACAGCTAACTTTAGAATGCAACATCCCGTGTGGTGTAAAGGGCCCTATTGTAGGGTCGCCAAGAATAGACCCACTACCTCAAGCAATCCCAACAAGCATGTCGTGAGAGTCGACTTTTTTAGAGCTTTCTTCGAAGTCGTAGTGCCTCTGCCTAAGAGGCAAGGAACCAACAATCTGTATGCACGTAAGTCAGGTCTGTAAAACGGATGTGCACGCAACACTCAGGTTGTGGAACAAGATTAAATTCTGGATGTGAAAGAACAACCAGAACTTTCTGCTGGAGTTTACAGACGGTAAACGCGAAGAAGAAGTATAAAACGCAACAAGCCTTTTGTAGAGTAATCATCTAGTGCCCCTGGGCTCTCAGGTCGGCCCAGCAGTCATAAATGGGTAGCAGGTACAGTCCTGAGAAGTGATGCTACCATATCAGCCACCATGTTCCGATTGGTCTATAAAGTATATGTCTAACCCTTTATGCCCCCACTCGCTTAAATATGTGTGTGAAAGGGTCCTTTACTTTACTTGTCTAGTGCCTAGGTTAATATCATAGAAAGTGACAAGCAGGCCCTCCCCCCCCCCCACACACACACACACATCAGGAGAGGCAAATACATCACACACACAGACACACACGCGCACCACACACTCACAAACACACACACACACACACACGTACAATAAAAAAGTGGTACACGTGACGTTAGTCTCCCAACGTCTCGCCCATAAACACACTAGCTAACTTCTGATTGGTAGTTCTTGAATTTCTCACTTTGGCACGATGTTATAGGGTTGTTCCGCAATACCGTTGATATCGCAGGTTGTGTATTTCTCGCGCCAGCGCTTTTAAACTAAAAAAAAAAAAAAATGAAAAAACTGGCCCCAACACATCTCTCTCAGGAAGTGCTGTAACCTTTGTCACAGGCATTCTCTTTTTTGGAATGTCAACGTAAAGACAGGACAACAAAGCAAACAAAAGAGCTGGACACACCCGTAAACTTCAGGAAAGTCGATAAGCTCAACAAACTTGGAAATTTAAAGTGAACTACTTTATTTAGGGAGATAAACGTTACTTTAACCTAAAAAGCTAACATATAAAGTGTTTTCCCTCCGTAACTCACCCATTGATTTAATTACTGTGTAACTAACAACGAATAGTTTATCGTGTTCTGTGTATTCAGAAACAGCCAATGGTTGCTCCCCTGTTGGATGATTTAGATTTTGAACCTTCATTTATCTGTAGTGTTGCTAAGTTGTCGATGGCCCAGCTTGTTAAGTGTTATCTACAAACATTTCTGAAGTTTCAATATCTGGTTATAAATGTTCATGTCTATAAAATATTTTCTTTTAAAACTGTGTGGGAAGTGTTAAGTAAAGTGCCCATGTTACGAAATTGCTTTACATGTATGGGAGGTAGGCAGGTAGGTCGGTACAGGAAACAAAAAGAATCGTCCCGTTCAACCAGCATCCGCACAGGGAAAGCTTTGATTATAATTGTGACTAGGTTATTTGCGCCACCTGAAATCGCTTATCATTGCAAGCCACAAAGAGACATGAAAAGGACTCAGGCAGTGTTGATGCGATCAAAGGAGACAAACCCAAATACCGTCGCGACCGGCGACAAAGTCGTCTACCAGCGAGCCAGTGGGCCACCCGGTCGCCGATGACGATACGAACATATATGTCATGCCGAACCATGTTTGTGTAGAGTTATCTGCTTTCGGTTAGTCACGTGGTCAATGCCGTTTTGGCATAGTTTGGTTGTCAGATTGTTGTTCTTCTTATTTGTATTCTTCGCGCTGACCGGCTTTAGACTCCGGTGGAAAGTTTTGATTGTTCTGGACTTGAGTTTGTTTCACAACTAGGATGAATATTTCCGGCTTTCACCAGACAGTCCCGTTTCTTTAGGAGGGCCTGCTTCCAAAAAAAAAAAAAAAAAAATTATATATATTTAGCTCGAGAAAAAAACATATACATCTAATTATATTTTTTATAAGACATATTTCTTGATACTTTTAGTGCTTGAAATGTGATGATAGGAATTTTCATTATAGCGCCGTATTTTTTTTAAACCCCGTTTAAAGATCATATTGTTTCGTGTATTTCTTGGCATATTGCTTCGGGTTTTTAAAAAAAAATTGTCAAGTGAGTAATTAATTCGTTTACCCCGGTGACTTTGGAGGAAATGTGGGTGGTGGTGGTGGGGGTGGGGGTGGGGGTGGGGGGTTGAACTGATTTGGATGGAATGGCAGGCTTTCAGCTCCTGATGAGTGGAATATTATTATATTTTTTTTTTTTACTCAAGGTATTACCCAGTACAGAACTTCTGGCGTAATGCTGACCACATTACCCACCCAGTGCCGATTGGTCTGTAAACAAAATAAAAAAAATATAGGTGCTCTACCCATATGCCCGATGCGCCTAAAGGCGTGCACTTGCGTTTTACAGATTTCGCTCATTTCAGTGCGTCAGTGTCTGTGGCTTAGGCGTTACGAACGCGCTTCGTAATGCTGGGGTGCCAGGTTCGATCCCACCTGCATATGATTTGGCAGCAAAACCTCTTGCGTTCGTTTCGACAGTGATATCGAGAGCCGACCGTTCAGTAAAACAATGACAAACTAAGAAGTTGTTTGTTTGTTTGTTTTATTATCGAGAAGCCATGAGTTGTTAACCCTTAGGCTCGGTATTATGGATATCGCAACCTTTCGGCATTGATTCCATGATACATACTGTAAATCTGTGGCTTTTCTGCCCACTTCCGGGAGTGAACCCGGACCACAAGGAGTTCGTCAACAGCTCACCGCGCAATCCGCTTGAGAGATGGGCCAAACTAAGAAGTAAAAGTAAAGGCCCCTTTTCCACGCCTTTAGGCGTATAGGACATATAGGGCTAGACCTATATTTTTATAGACCAATCAGCACAAGATGGTTGATGTGGTCAACATCACCTCTACTTCCCGGGACTGCACCAGGGACCCACTCAAGGCTGGGTCGACCTGAGAGCCAAGGCATAACGAACTGCTGGGTGTAAATTTGCCTTGAAAAACCACAACAGCCAAAACATGCTTTTGTTGGGTTTGCAACATCCTGTAGAAGATGCGCAACTAACTTTTTTTGTGTGCAGACTGATGGTTCCTAGCCTCTCAGGCAGTTATACTCGAAGGAAACACCTAAAATCAGTCTTATTTTACGACATGCTTGTTATGAAGACAGTAGTGTCTATTCTTTATTCCCTACAATAGGGGCCAGGAACCCCACACAGGGATGAGAATAGTCGATGCTACTTATTTGATACATGTAAAGTTAAACGAGAGGAGCGACTTCATTTCATCGGGTTTCTTCTTCTGCGTCCCTCTGAATACATAAATGCGTTGTGCCTGTTTAAAGCATGGCAATATTTGTGCCTCTCGGCCGACACATCCTACTTCTTCAGTATTTGTTGTTCGAGTTAGCCTATTTTATCTTGTTTTCATTGTTTTCGCACTTCTATTTTTCTTTATTCTTGGAATGCCTTCTGGCGTCAGGGCATGAAGAGATCTTTGGAACGGCCCCTTCTGTTTGCTTCGTATAAAATACTTTTCAGCATCTCTGATATGTCTGCGGTTCATCTTCTGCGTAGTCGACCTATGGCTCTGTTACCGCTGTTTCTGTATAACATTGCTCTCTGTGGTGCCCTGTCTGATAACAGTCTAGTTACATGGCCAAACCTTTGGTTTGTTGTCTTCCTATAAAGCTCAGTATTGCTTCTGTGTCGACTTTACTGATATCATCGTTCCTAAGTCGATCTGTCCTCGTTACACCTAGCATAGTACGTAAACATTTCATTTCTGTCGTTATTTTCCTTCTACCTTCTCAAGACAGGGCCTATTTTTGACATTGACAACATATCGTTGGTAAGAATACTGTGTTGCGCTGTGTTCTTTTAGTGTTCATATTCAGAGGCTTTCATTTCAAAATTAGTACCATTTGGACTAAAACGGGATTGGCTCTGTATGATCTTTATTGAAATTCCTAATAAAATTTTTTTTATTAATATTTATTTGTATATTTATTATCGCCTCTAGGTACAGAAAACAATGTTTAGAGTTTAGTTTACGGAAATAGTATAACTAATACAATATAAAGCTGCGCTAAAATAAGATCAATAAGCAAGAAAATATAATGTTAAAAGGCGCTCTTAGAGAGGTTGTGATTGTCATTTATATTTTGACAATAATCCACATCACATGGATAAAGGCAACAACGCCCATGGAATCATACATCAGCCTAGAAAATTATGTTCGAAACACTGATTCAATCAAACACAAGCTTCCAGTGAACATCGCAGGCAACCTAACGTTACTGCTGACATTTAGGGCGTTTCAGATCATCGATGTGGATGAACTCAATCAGTCCGTGCAGGTGCTGTCAGTACTGATAGTTTATTGGAAGTACTTCGACATCCACTGGGAACCTTCTCAATACAACGGTGAATTTATAATAAGATAGATAAGATTGTTTTTACATGACGTTGCAGAATCAACCTTAGCATACGTTAGGTGACATTGTTTTACATGACATTGCAGGATCAACACTAGCATACGTTAGGTGACATTGTTTTACATAACATTGCAGAATCAACTTCAGTATAAGTAAGATGACTTTGTTTTACATGACGCTGCAGAATCAACCCCAGCATAAGTTAGAAAGGATTGTTTTACATGACGCTGTAGAATCAACCCGAGCATATTTTAGCAATGAACATAGCCGAGCCATAAATATGGCCTAGCTTATAGATATGACTCAGAGGGGTTGCTGGGACCTCTCCACGGGTAAACCTCATCCGCATGGTGGCACTTTGTGTCACCGGATGTTTATCGCTTGTGTGATGTCCTGGTGGGGTACAACTACCTAGCTACGCAGAGTGGCCAACATCGGTTCATAGATCCCTGGTAGTTAGATCCTATGGATATTGTCTCTGTGTTATGCTTGAGTTGGAAAACGAGTATTCAGACTGGACGGTTCAGCACTACCTGGTGCTGAATTGATATATGACAAATTTGATACTATGACCGCCTTTAGGGAGCGAGTGAACAGTGAAGAGGTAAAAATACATCATTACGGTCTGAGGAGAATGGCGTCGTGGGGTGTTATTAAAGGATCTGGCCGACGCTCAACACTCAAGGGAAAGGCAAGACGGATGTACAATCAGACAGTTACTGGTACCATCGGAAATGGAACTCTTCGCTTGCTGTTGAAGATGGGGACGGAACTCTTATAGGAGTGTCTCGAGTGGTACAATATTGACTCTTGCTTTAACACTCAGCACTTAAGGTTTACCCTTGGCGCATTTGTAACAACACGACTCTCACTAGGTAAAAAAAAACTGGGAATTCATTGTCGTCTGCTGACCCATTAGGGTTACAGTTTTTGACAGCCACTTACTTAGTTGCTCCTCTTCTACCTTGGGCTGTAGAGGTTTGCCATTTATGTCCTATTGCTAATTTCTCTTTTGATGAGAAACCTCCTGTTTATGTTGCTGATTTTCAAGTAGCCAATTCTGACTTGAAGCCTCCATTCTAGTCTGTTACGACTCTAAGGTCAACCAACCAGTTTTTTGCCAGATTAATTGTTGGATGAAAGGTTGTGCTTCGTGGATGTTTTTGTCAGATTGTTTCTTTGTCGGACTATGTAAATAATATTTCCTCACCTATAGTTCTTACAGACGTACCATACTCTAAGAATAATAATATTCCCAAATGTTATAATATAATAAAGGGACACTTCCTCAAAAGCCGAGATATATTTGGTAAACAATGCATTCTTTCTTCACAACTCAGCACATTTCTTGGTATCCATTTCAGGCTTAATAGCGATGGCACGCAAACCAAGGATTAAAACTGATAACGAGGTGATCGAAAATGTCACATATTTTGAATATTTAGGCTCAGTAATTAAATTACAACTCTACGGGGCAAATTAAGTTTTAAAAAGACTCGCTTCAGCAATACATAGACTAAAAGCATAATGAATCAGTGAGTAGAACTATAGCAAGGTCTTAAGGAGCATTTATGTGCCAGGTGCTAAAGGTGTTGAAGTTGCTAAAGGTGCTGCCGCCACCAGTCTGCAAGCAATGGTTGCCGCGTTGTGTGCATTTTTTAAAGGTAAAATAATTAGGACATATGCTGCAAAACTTTGATTTTATTTTAAAGAAAAACAAAACAGGAAGTTATGGAATTAAGTCGTCGTGCTGGTGTGACAGCTGAAGGGGCTTAAGGGTCATGGAAGTGTCGCCACATATGATACAATGGCATAATTATGGCAAGGGAGCGGATATGGTATCTCGGGATTAGGTGCCGGTGGCTCATGATTTTAGAGGTAGCTATGAAGCGATATATGGGTGGTCTGATATGTGGATAGTGTGATATTTGGATGGTCAAGCATGTCATAGGCGTATAATTATTGTTAACAGAGGTCGTTTGTGCCCCTGTTATCATCAGATGCCGTGGGGTGATGTGTGAGTCACAATGTGGTGTGGGTAGCGCTGTGCGGTGTGGTTGCCACGCGTCATGTGGATGCTGCTGAGTGGTTCAGTAGGTAGCATGGTGTAGTGTGTGTACCGTGGGGTGATCATCAGATGATAAAGAAGGCAATATTGCCATTAGGCTACGGTAGTCTCTATTTCATAACTTACTCATTCAAAATTAATGTGTTTTTTTTCTCCCAGGTATATCATCAGTGCTGTTGGATTCATCTGAGGTTTGGACACCCACCATCGTCATACCTAGAAGCATGACCTCCATAAATCTGGAACTCTCTGACAAAGTTGAGGTAAGGAGTCCTACCCTGCTAGCGCATAAAATTATTATTATTATTATTATTAATATTATTATTATTACTTTGTCGGCATTTCTGGCGTAGGCGTTGAGAACGAGGTGCCAGCCTCGACCCTAGCTGCTGGCGTTTTGACAGCAGACCGCCTTGCATTGGTTTTGACAGTTGAATCGAGAACAGACCATAATAAATCAATAGCAAACTACTGAACGTAAAACTGGCTGGTGAAATCTCAAACATCCAAGAACATAAAATTGGTAGGGCTGGTTCCGCAGCGTACTGCAAAGGATACGCAAATTCCTTGTATTACTATTGTTATTATTATTATTATTATTATTTTGTTATTACTACTACTAAAATAATAATCCTTATCGTTGCCATCCTCATCTTTGCCCTTCTTATTCTACCCCCCCCCACCCCTCCCACTCCACCCCCGCGCCTTCTCGTCCTCTTGATTTTTATTATTATCACCATTTTCATCTTTATTCATAAAAATAGAAACCCCTCAATTTTAGACACGTAGTAGCAGCAAGGAAATCAGATATAAAACTTTAAGAACATGCATCTTCCCTGTAGCGACATACGGATGTGAGTCATGGGTTATCTTCCAGTTATTAAAAATGAAAATGGGAGCTTTTTAACTGAGATGCTACAAAAAGATTCTTGGACAACGAAGAGAAGAAATTCTGAATTTTAAAAGATCTGAATATCATGGAAGATTGGCTAATCAACATCATCTTGTTTCAGAAGCTGAAATATGTTGGTCATATCAAACGCCATGGCGTTGTGGAAAAAAAATAGTAGCAGAAGGTATGTTACCGGGAAGGAGAGGCTGGGGCAGACCAACACAAAGATAGACATAGGATATAAGTGACTCCTTGAATATGAAAGTACACGTGGCGGGAGAGCTCTCGAAAGTCCGAGTTTTTCTTTCCCCATTGTGGGAAGAGTAAAGAATAAATTCACTGCCCCACCATCCTATCCCCCCCCCCCCCCAACCACACCCCTTTCTTGCTTCCAATAAGCATGCCGTTAAAGTAGGTACATAGGGGTGTTTTCCTTCAAAATCAGAGGGCATCTACCTGAGATGCAGGGAACTAACTGTGTGCACATAAATAAGCCCGATCAGTCTAACGTATATGTATATAAAACTTAAAGAAGATTAGCTGAAGACGTGCATGGACTGTAATACTTTAGGAGGAAAGTGCACGAGGCGGGAAAACTGGCGAGATACTGAATTTCTTTCAGGCAGACCGTGATGAGAGCGACGCTCCATAAGGGACCTGCTTTGTGATGACAGTGTGTCGACCGTTCTTTACGCTGCATCCACGAGTACCAGGCTGACTAATCAGGTGATACGCTGTAGTTTCTGAGAATGCGCTTCTCCTGTACCTTGATGTTATTTTCCCACTTGCATCATCGTCCACCTTTTACTCGTGTGCCTTCAACGTTTCCTTTCAGTTTTAGTTTCAGTCAGTTTGTTTCATAATCTGTCTTGCAACAGACATTATCAGAACGTCAGATTGTCACAACTTCTTCAGGCCACAGATATGAAGAAGATGCAACCACTGACGGTGAGCAAATGTCCGCTAGCACTTGGTGTCGACAGTGCTGCTGCTGATGAGGATAGTAATAATGACGATAATGTCAATGCTGATGATGATAATGATGATAAAAATGATAATGATGACGATGATAATTTTGATGATGGTGATGGTGTTTTAAATAATGTTGATGATGACGATGATTATGATGGTGGTGGTGATAATGATGACGTTGATGATCATGATGGTGGGGTTGATGATGATAACGTTGATCATGATGATGATGCTGATGGTGGCGATGGTGATGAAGATGATTTTCAAGATGGTGATTATGACGATGATGATGATGGTAGCAATGATGATAATGATGATGCCAATGAAGATGTTGAATGATCTATATCTGATGTACCATTTCTGATTTAGATCTCCCCCGACGGTCGAGTAATGTCCTTGATACCAGGGATTCAAGAGATATCATGCTTTATGGACTTGTTGGACTTCCCCTTCGATCGACACAACTGCACAATCGCATTTCTAGAGTCAACAAGAAGCACGGTGTACCCGGAGATGGATATCGCATACATTGATCAAATGGCGACACATTTTATTAAGAATGCAGAGTGGAGGCTTGAGCGACATGGTTGTGGCTTTGTACAGGTGGGCTAATTCTTCTTCTTCTTCTTCTTCTTCTTCTTCTTCTTCTTCTTCTTCTTCTTCTTCTTCTTCTTCTTCTTCTTCTTCTTCTTCTTCTTCTTCTTCTTCTTCTTCTTCTTCTTCTTCTTCTTCTTCTTCTTCTTCTTCTTTTTGTTCTTCTTCTTCTTCTTCTTCTTTCTTCTTCTTCTTCTTCTTCTTCTTCTTCTTCTTCTTCTTCTTCTTCTTCTTCTTCTTCTTCTTCTTCTTCTTCTTCTTCTTCTTCTTCTTCTTCTTCTTCTTCTTCTTCTTCTTATTATTATTATTATTATTATTATTATTATTATTATTATTATGCCTTTCTATCCCCCAATGGAGCATAGGTCCTCAACCAACTCCCGCCAAGTCGTTATATCCTTCACTATTACATGGAGCTCGTCCCATGTCTTCCCTATCTTTCTAACTTCATTCTCCAGCTGTCTTCTCCATGTGTTTTTTTTTTTAACCTTCCTTTATTCCTATGCCCATGTAGGTTCCAATGCAAAGATATTCTAGTTATGCTTTTCTTCAGTTTTCTCAATGTGTGTCCTAGCCAACGCCAGCGTCTTTTCCTCACCTCTTGGTCCACTGGAGCTTGCTTAGTTCTCTCCCAAAGCTCTACATTATTTATTCTATCATACCATTTAATTCCCTCTATTCTGCGCAGGCACCAGTTATTTAATGATTGCAATTTTTTAGTAGTTGCCTTAGTTATGCTCCATGTTTCCGCCCCTGATTCGACATTAGAATTAAAGTTTTAAGTGTAATATTTCTTTTAATTTCTGTTGACCACCACAACTTCGCTATGAAAGTTCCTCTTGACTTTTGTATTCTTTTTTTTATGTCTCTATCAGTTCCCCCATCTTTATCTACATTACTGCCCAAATAAGTGTACGACTCCACGTCTTCGAGTGGGGGGTCATTAAAAAAAACAAAAAACCACAATACTATTTGCCTGATTTATTCTCATTATCTTTGCCTTTCCTTTATGGATTTTATAATAATAATAATAATAATAATAATAATAATAATAATAATAATAATAATAATTATTATTATTATTATTATTATTCGCGTTGACCATTTGTAAAACATTCTAGTTGTGCATCCATATCTATCATGGATATTCATATCCATGTCTTGATCCTGAACCTGAGTGTTACATGCACGTCCGTTTCACACATGGGGCTTATATATATGCAGACTTTTGGTTCCTTGCCTCTCATGCAGATGACTCTGACCTCGAAGTAAGTCGTCAATTAGTCTACACAGGCGACATGCTCCTTACGGAGGCTGTGGGTCTATTCGTATTGCCCCCACAACGGGGCTCCAGAACTGTAGAGGTAATTATGTTTATTTATAATCAACATCATTATCGTTGTCATCATCAGTTTCCAAATGTTGTCGTTAAGCGGCTTGGGGAGGAACAGTTAGCGATCCATTGCTTGATATGTAGCAAGGCTATTGTAATTCTGCGTCGATTTAAAAACTTTTTAAAATCACCAAATCCAACGTCTTCTAGAGTGACCGCTTGCTTTCATGCAAGATCTTTTCATCATTTTTTTTCTTCTTCCAGCGAAGAGGTTATAAATTATTTCACTAAATTTTTAACATGAAGTTTTTGTTTTGAACAGAGCTACTTGAATTACACAGAGTGTTGGTTTGTCATGTCCCGACAACGAAGGTTCTATCTGACCACACTTCTGGCGCCTCTAATCTTGATGTCCGCCATGACACTTCTGGTGTTCTGCCTGCCGGCCGAATCTGGAGAGAAGATCTCTTTCGTCATCTCCATTTTCGTGTCCATGACGATGTTCCTGAGCATTATCACTGATGTGATTCCAAGGAGCATGAACCAGATCCCTCGATTTCTGGCCTTGATTCTAGTGACGGTTGTTGTCATTTTTCTAGCTACTGCTGCAACTGTTGTCGTCCTTAACAGATATAACAAAGAGAAGAAGCAAAAACTGCGTGGAACCAAGAATAAACCACCCAGCACACCAAATAATCAGTCTTCAAATCAAAAAGAAAAGGACTGGATTTTTTCAATGGAGAACAACGTTAGGGCTTTTCAAAATTCAGGAGAAAAAGCCACGGCATTTGATCCCGAAGGCAGGAGCAGGGTTGATGAAGAAACAAAGAAAAGGAACAAGTCGTCGGCATGGACTTCTTCGATGACTGCAACGACGAGGAATTCTAATAGAATCTCTGTCGTCAGTGAGGAGGATGATGATTTCGGACGCCGACAAAATGCATCTTTATGGACAATGCATTTTTGTAATTTGACCCATGGTCAGTTGGATACCATGTTCTTCTGGATTTTCCTTGGTGCGAACATTATTGTCTATACGTGGATCCTTGGAGTGTACATATAGAGTCAATATCATAAGAGAGGCAACCTTAAGTGTTTCCTTATCTATAGAAGTGTCATACAAGTGTATGTATATATATATATATATATATATATATATATATATATATATATATATATATATATATATATATATATATATATGTATTTATATATGTATATAAAACGAGATGTGGTTTTATAGGCGTTTTGAAAGAAACTAACTCTCATGAAGAGAACTGATTGTCCACATCAGAAGGAGACGGTCATATTCTGTGTTCATGTCATAAAAAGCCGAAAACTGGAGTACATGGTGACGATGGGAAAGATAGACGGAAAAAGCGACAGAGGGAGACGGGAGAAAAGATGCCATGCAGTTTGATATCATAACATTGAAGATTATCTCTACGATAATTTGAATGTACACGAGACAGAAGGTTGTGGACAGACCGTAATTACCAACGGCATACGGACTAGAAAAAAAAAGTAAAGTAAATTCTCTTTTCGCACCTTTAAGCGCTTTTGTTGTATAGTACATTACGTATATGTATGTAACAGGCTGGTATGGATGGGTGGTTAGCCTGTTCAAGATTTTGGTTTGGTTGCACTTGGCGGACTCAAACTGGCAGGTCTGGAGACCAGCTGGAACTCCCCGGAAGTGCCCAGTGAATCACGACTGTTCGTGAAGGTAATAAAAGACCTAGGACTTGAGACAAGGCTCTTTTTAGCTCTTGGATCTGCGGCGGTGAGACTAGAAAAATATAGTCCTGACTTTTTGTTGCGAGACCGTACAGGGTTCTTAGCGCAGAGTGGGTTCAGGGAGTTGAATCGAGATATAGACTGGCTTACTGGTTTCGTGTTTTAGTTTTATGTTCAGGAAAATAAAAAGATAATAAATGTGATGATTATATTATATTTGTTTGATTCAGAATGGGACATGTAGTTCGTGCATGAAGTGAGACTAGGCGGTGCCATTATAGTTATATGTTGAGCTACATATTGTCCTAACCACATATATCTCCTCGTCTCTTACCTGTTTCTCCCTTTTTCACTTACGGCAGGCTCATTTATGTAAATAAATACTCAATGAGTATTTAAATCACAAGAAGTAAACCACAGATCCAACTTCATAACAAACGATCACATGGTAGGTACTCCATGTGTGTAAGCGTGTTTGTGTATGTTTGTGTGTTTGTTCTTTCTGGTCAAAAGGTTTGCCTCAATGTATCAAATTCGGTGCAGTCCTAGAGTAAATGTTCTGCTGTCTGGGGCACCTTCCACAGGTGCACATGGCTGATACGCCTATCTTGAATTTTGTGTACAAGTGGTTACGTAATCGGTTATGCCCTGTTCTGAGGGGGAGGATAATGACTTGTTCTGATCTGTTCATAATAAAAATAGTCGTCTTGTGCTGGGACTGGTGGTTTCCTGATCGATTTAATGTTTCTTTTCTTTTTGTGGTATGTGACTGGTACATCCGGCTGCACTTTTGTCGCACCTTTCCCTGCCAGTTGATCAGCTTTTCCAGGTATTCCACAATGTGACGGTTTCCAAGCCTCGCTTGTGTGTCTGCGTTTTGTGTATTGTAAGCGTGTTTGAAATTACGCATTTGCCATTGATGCTTAAGTATTTTTTCATTTGCATTTAAAACTATGAATATTTTGATCAAGGAACATAAAATGATTGATACAATTGCCATGTAAAAGACGATTGTTTGAAATTGCGGAATGTAAGACTAACCTGCAGGTTTAATTTGGGACCAGTTTAAAATAAATTTCTTTTACTCGTTCTTTTATTAATTACAATTATTTAATTAATTAAAAACCACACTCTCTTTTAGTGGGTGGGGTGTGGGTGGGGGATTGACACAGTCTGCAGTCTAAACATGGCCAATAGCATACACACGAATATTACATCGGAGTCAGGGTCGCCCAGTAGCTAGTCGGTAGACGACTTCGTCGCCTGACGGGATTGTATTTGGGTCTGTCTCTTTAATCGAATCAACACTGCAAGACTTCAGATCTACTTGGTGGCGAGTAAGCCATTTATTACGGCGCACATAACCTAGTCACAATTATAACCTAACGCACTTTTTCGGGGATGCTGGTTGAATGTGATAATTTTGTTTTTGCATAGCAAGTTAAGTTATGATGTTTGAGATTACAGGTTAACATTTTAAGAATAGATTTCATTGCACTAGGTTTGATGAGTCTTGTTGCATGGTGTGGAGGTGTGTCAGCACACGAACTGATACATGTTGCAGGAGATTGCAGATTATGGAAAGGCATGATCGCCCACGCCATGCGGCAAGGCACCTGATGATGATGAGGTTTTAACCAATACATGGCTTTGTCTTTCTATGCAGAATGACTATCTGACTGTCGAGAATGTCGCACAAAGCACGAACACGATAGCTCTAGCGATGTTTTCCGCGGATCTCTTTAAAATACGAACCGAGCGAACAGTCGTGAAACGAGCCCACTACCCTCAGAGCGCGAGGTAAATGGGTTGACTACTTCTCCACGGAGGCCCTTGTAAATGACGGAACTGGTCTAAATTGTCTGCCCCACCCCCCCCCCTTTTTTTTTCCGTGGGCCACTGAGTCTTACCTGCACAAGACTTCAAGCTAGACCTGTCTCATGCAGCTGTTACTTCATCTGCTTTTTCTTTACTCCTGGAATGCCTCGTGGATTCCTGACAGGTAGAGATCTTTGCAATAGGCCCTTCTATTTGCTTCGCATAAAGTAATTTTTCAGGATCTCTGATATTTTTACGATCCATATACTGCATGGTCGACATCTGGCTCTGTAATCCTTGTATCCGTACAACAACAACATCTCTCTCTCTCTCTCTCTATCTCTCTCTCTCTCTTTCTCTTTCTCTCTCTCTCTCTCTCTCTCTCTCTCTCTCTCTCTCTCTCTCTCTCTCTCAACCTACTGCCTTCTTAACAAGCATGTCGTAGGAGTCGACTAACTGTGTACGTCCTTCGAAGTTGGAGTGCAAGAAACTACCAGCTACACACAAATAATCCAGTAAAATACGTAGAACGCCAACCCTGCACAAAGCAAAAGTCCAGACTGATGAACAGCTAGGACTTTCTGCCAGAGCTCACTGCCGGTGAACTAAGAAGAAGAATGGAGTTTCTGAGGTTTGTACCTGGGAGGGGCGGGGTGATATATACAATGACATTTTGCTTCACCGGGTGTAAATAGCTCAGTTTGCGGTCCCGGTGGAGTTAAACTTCATTCACCATCCAGGATCAGGTTCATAAAAGTTTGTCAGAGAAAAAGAAAAAGATAGACGAAGACAAGGCCAGAAGATTCTTTCTAAATTCCTGTTAAGAATACATGCTGTTGGAGATCGCAACTTATGGAAGGACATAATCGCCCACGCTAGTCGACACTACACATGATGATGACATCTGTTTTAGCTATTTAGTTATCAGGAAATACCATCAAAATAACTGCTTAGGCAGAGACAGGGTTCAGAAGCTGTTAATAATTATAAGTTTGCTCTCCGACCTGTGGCAATTTACGATTGTGAGTCCTGGACTCTCACTTAGTCATTGTAGGAAAAGATTGGAGCTTTTGAATTCAAATGTTACAGAAAAATTCTCAGAATACCATAGATCAAGAACATGGAAAACATAGACATTATTCACGAGTGAAATGTCGAGAAGAACTGGCTCTTAAACAGCATCCTGTCCCAAAAATTTAAAGTAATTTGGCCACATCAAACGTCATGTTGGCTTGGAAAAGATGGTGATCGAGGATGCAGTTTGTGGAAAGCGAGGCAGGGGTCGACTTCCACGAAGATGGATTCAAGACATTAAAGCTGTATTGGCATTGAAAGCACATGGGACCGGAGAACTGGCTAGGAAGGGGATACTTTCAGGCGTGCCGTGTATAGAGCAACGTTCTGTAAAGGACTTGCTAATTGATTGATCAGGATGATCCGACCTGTTCACAGCGTGTCGCTGTTTTTAAATAAACCATAAAAATAATAAACATCACAAACAACAGTCAGTCGAGCAATGAATGCACTTAACAAACATTTACAAGAAATACATGTTTATGTTCTAAATATAAGTAAGGATTTCGCAATTTTAACGAAACAAGAGTTGGGATTGGGTTTTATACAGCATCCCGAGTGAAACATATTACACAGGATGTTCCTTTATGTTGGCAAGCGACAGAACATGAAACTGAAGATCAAACGACCAGATCGAAGTTGACTTAATGTAACCAGAACCATTAGTTAGTGTGAACTAACATGGCTTCGATGTCAAATGGCCTTGCGTGGAAAGTTAGTTCTAGTAGCAAATGGTTGCTAACTCAAAAGGAAGCAAACAACGAATTGCAGAAGTCATAAAAACGGGAGGCGACTGTAACAGCCTCGTTATCTTCTGGCCCTGTCTTCATCTAGGTTTTTTTTTTTTCAAAAACTTTCAAGAATCTGAACCTGAATGATGAATGAAGTTGAACTCCACAAGGATCGCACACTAAGCCATTAACATCCTGTGATGCATGGTATCAGTGTTCAGATGATCACCCCCCCCCCCCCCTTTCCCAGGTACAAACCTCAGAAACTCCGTTCTTCTTCTTCTTTTGTGTTCCCCGGCTGTAAGCTCTGGCAGAAAGTCCTGCTTGTTCCCCAGCTGTAAGCTCTGGCAGAAAGTCCTGCTTGTTCCTCAGCCTGGGCTTTGGCTTTGTGCAGAGCCTGTGTTTTACGTGAATGGTTGTTCCTTGCACTCCAACTTCGAAGGACGCCTGCAGTTAATCGACTCCTACGACATGCTTGTTGGGGATTTCAGCAAGTTTATTTTCGTTTTCCCCACAGTGTGGTCCCAAACCCACAGAGGAAAAGCGTGGCTCCCTAACGGTTTCAAAGTATCCTGAAGTCTAACCAAGGTAGTGAAATTTCGTCAACAAGCCTGCATGGCAAACCAACAGGGGAAACCTCGGAGACTCCGTTCAGCGTCGAATGAAATTATCATTTAGGCTCCCGTAACCAAATAATGGGGCCACTTAACAAGACTGGCATGAGACAGAGCACCATAGAAAGCGATGTTACGCAGATACTGGGGAGGGGGGGGGGTGGTAGGACAGAACCAGAGGTCAACTATTCAGGGAATAAGGTTAGCTGCGTATCATTTACATGACGTTACAGAACCAACCCCAAGAGCCCTTGGCTGTTGTGTGGTTTTTCTATACAAATTTACGTCCGGTAGTTTGCCATTGCCTCTGGATGGTCAGCTTCTTTGATACCACTGTCAAAACCAAAGCAAGGCGCATGGCCCGCAGCTGGGATCGAACCCGGCATCGACTTAGCCACAGAGCCGAAATTCACGAGATGAACAGATAATTATCAGAGACTGAAAAGTACGTTTTGCAAAGAAGGGCCTATTCCAATGATCTCTTCCTGCCCTGACGCTGCAAGGAATTCCAAGAGTACAGAAAAGGAGTGCGGTGGGTCGACCTGGGTGATGACTCTCAGGCACTGGACTTCTCCTGCTGCGTTTATCGGTAAGCTGGACGAGACGTTGTGATGATTTGCAACAGATGCTGAGGTTATGTTGTTTTCTATATGTCGTCGCTGTGAGGAAGATGGAGAAAATGAAGAAGTACCGGCTTCACTAGACAGGTCTAGCTTGAAGACTTGTGTAGGTAAGACTCAGTAGCCCGGGGGTGGTGGGGGGGGGGGGGCAGCTCCGTCATCCTCAGGGGTCTCTGTGGCGAAGCAGTTGTGGTGGGTAAATTCGCTTTTATCTAGCGAATGCACTATGTGCAATCTACAGAAAGAATCGCAAATAGTGAATCATCATAAAGGTTTATATTACCTCCAGCCTTGCTGGTTAAACGTGAAGATTCAGGGTTTGCCTACATCTGATTCCCTACTGTTAATAAATTGTATATTTAAATGTGTTAAATTATACTGGCTTTTGTTCATTGACACAAATGATTACAGTTAAAATAACTCCATAACACTGGAAGGAACTTTAAAACTATAACATTTTTTTGGACAATTCTAGCTAATAATCAGACTGGCTGTGGAGAAAAAATTAGTCCCTGTGGATAGTAGACAAATCTGTCCACTGGGTTAGCTTCTAGCTAAGCCTCGGAGACACATCAGGCAGGCCGAATCTTCCAGTCCAGTCCAGACAATCGGGCATCTGCAGCTAAGGTGGGATTTACTTCTGGAACTCCCACCTGGAACTACCATCCGGACTACCACCTGAAACTAGAAAAATAGAACAGTCCCTATACAAGCAGTTTGGAAAGTTCTCACTGGAGACAACAGTACCTCCAGTCTTCACACACTGTTACACTACACACACATATATGGAGTAGGGTAATCACAAGTGTTCATTCTTTACTGGTACAGAATGGGAATGTTTACAGAACAGGGGCTATAATCCTGATGGGGAAATATTTCGTAAACATCAGTTTCACGAATACTTTCAAGTACAAGGACATTCATCAGTGCGAAATTATACTGATGTCTTTACACTAGTACTCCTTTAAGGTGTTAACATGCTTACACACACAGTCACATTATATAATAGATTCTCATTTCAACCACATCGGTTAACATCACATAGAATGAGAATCAGGGAGTGAGTTTACATGGGCCGGAAACTCATAACAGGTGCGTTGCACAGTTTAAAAATAAATGGAATTGACATATCTCCATCAAAATAACTGGGTGCTGTGATAGATGTCAAACTACAATCATAGATGACAATGGGCTTTCCATTTGTCACAGTATTATTATAAAATATACAACACCAGCTTAAATCAGTAGTTTAGAAGTTGGAAAGGGTGCAATATAATTATTAAAATTGCAAGGCTACCTGCTGTGGTACTGAAAATATATTCCTATTAATCGGGAAATATATATTTAACATAATTATTAAAAACAAGGGCCATATATCTCTCTTCTTCTTCTACGACAGTGTGAATATTAAATTTAGCCACACTATGTTATTCACTTTTACAAGCTCTTAAACTAGTCTCAGAATTATTTGGACTAAATCTAAATTAAAGCAAGACAGTGATTTATTAAGCTAATATCACCATGAGGTCAAATCAACTTAGTAAGGATTAGGTATAATGAATATACACTACATTCCTTTATTAATGGTCTCACCATGCTGGAAATCGAAACTGGCCGAGATTTCACACGAGGACATAAATTCTCACTTCATTAATATTATTATAATAATTAAAAATACCAGTGCACGTTTCTAGTATCAAATAAACATTATTTCAATCATCAAATATATCATATGTTTGCATACATGTACATACTAAATTATAAACGTTGTTAGTAAGGATAAGGGAATTTATCATGGTTTCTCCCACTGTGTGGACATTAAATTTCAGAGTTCAACAGATACTATTAATTCGGAGGAATAGCAGCAATAGATCAAATTGAAATAAAACTATTTACTTACCCCTGGTTGGGAATTCAAACACACAACGGTGACTGCAGTGGATTATACTGAGTCATAAGCAGATAGAGAACCGTCTAGCTTAATTTGTGTTCTTTATGAACATTAAAGTAGGAAGTTCTTAAAAGGGAGTAGTAACTCTTGAGTTAATTCTCCTACTGTACCTTCGTCTTTTATACCTTTCAACTCCTAATTAATGAATTAATAATATTGCTATAATATAGCAATAAGTAAAAGGTAAGAAAATTTAATAATATTGCTAGTAAAAAGCAATACTTAAAAGGGCGGAAGCAGCTGTCCAAACCAGCTCGTCACAGTATTCAAACCATTTACCTCACTCTCTGAAGGTCGTTACAAGACTGTTCTTTCGGTTAACGGATGCGTATTCTACGGACAACCCCAGGAATCATCGCCATAGCTACGGTGTTCGTGCTTTGTGCGACATTCTCTACAGGCGGATAGCCATTTTGCATAGAGAAACTGAACCATATATTGGAATATATTGGATAAAAGCCAGTTCAATGATATCCATACTCAAAACTTTAACCTGTAATCTTAAGCATCATATAGGCTTGGCTTGGCTTGCTTTGCGATAAAAAAATTTTTGTTTACGTTCAACCAGCTTCGCCGAAGAGGGGCTTTAGGTTATAATTATGACTAGGTTATGTGCGACACGTAAAATTACTTAGCATTGCTTGCTACCAAGTAGTTCTAAAAAGAACTTGCAATGTTGATGCGATCGAGAAGACAGACCCAAATACTATCCCACTGGGAACGAGGTCGTCTACCCGTTAGCCACTGGGCGACTCTATCGCCAATGTAATATCATTTATACTTCTGACTTAGTTAAAAACACATGTCCGATAACCGTAAATATAATTTGTGAAAACTTGAATAACTGTCTCCTTTAGCATAATTTTTTTTTTTTTAATGAAATATTTTTTCAACAGTATCTATAAAAATGAACCTAGCACCGTATTTCGATTGCGTTAGGAGTCTCATCAGCTTCAACTTACAACTTACTTACTTTCAACTAGGATAAGCAATTTATGGATGAGAATTAAATAAGAGCAAATAGTAGAAACCCCGTTCAACTCTGTAGTACGGTTATATGAAGTCGAGAGGTTCGAATTCAATACCCCGGGGCTTTAACCCCAAACACAAAGAAGGTCTATTAGTGGCCCAAAGTATGGGGCAGGGAACGCAGGGACCTACTGATACAGCAAAATCAGAGTCGCAGAGGACGAGCAGTGAGTGCAGAAAGCTGTCCAACCCTCGCAGCGAAGACCTTGTAAGATTCTCTGTCATGGAACGATACAAGGGATATGGCCCCGCCACAAATAAGCTTTCTGGTGAGATCTATGGCTATGAGACGTTAACCTCATTGAGTAAGTCAAAAAGGGAGAAACAGGTAAGAGACGAGGAGATAAATGTGGTTAGCACAATATGTAGCTCCGCGCTGGACTGCAAAAACAGAAATGGTAAGCAAAAGTGTTCTTCCGGTGCTGGAGTCATGAAATATTACTCATGGCTTAAGCGATGAATATGTGACTAGTTAATTACACAATATAATCCAACAACATAGGCAGTACCTAGACTGACTATATGCACGAACTACAAGTCCTATCCTGAATGAAACAAATAGAATATAATCATCATATTCATCATCTTTTTATTTTACCGAACATAATCCTAAAATATGAAACCAGTGAGCCAGTATATCTCTCGACCCAACCCCTCTGAACCCACGTTGTGTTAAGAACCCTGTACGGTCTCGCAACAAAAAGTAATGACTACACTTTTCTAGTCTCACCGCCGTAGACCAAAGAGACAAAGAGAGGCTTGTCTCAAGTTCCAGATCATGTATGACCTTGATGAACAGTCGTGACTTGCTTGACACTTCTGTGGAGAGTTCCAGTTTCCAGACCTGCCAGTTTGAGTCCGCCAAATGCAGCCAAACCAACTTGTTTAACAGGCTAACAAGCTATCCATACCAGCCTGTTACATATATACATAATGTACTATACAACAAAAGCGCTTAAAGGTGCGAAAAGAGAATTTACTTTACATTTACTTTTTCTAGTCCGTGTGGCATTGGTAGTTACATCTGTCCACAAACTTCTGTCTCGTGTACATTCAAGCTCTGATACAGATAATCTTCTATGCCATGATGTTAATCTGCCCAGTATCTTATCTCTTGTCTCCCTCTGCCTCCTTTTCCGTCTGTCTTTCCCACCGTCACCTTTCACTCCAGTTTTCGCCGTCTCCTTCTGGTGTGGACAATCAGCTCTCTTCATGAATTAGTTTCAAGACTCATATAAAACCACATCTCGTTTTTATACACACACGCACACACACATATATATATATATATATACACACACACACACACACACACTTGTATGACAAATGTATGGACTAGCAAACATCTAAGGTTGCCTCTCTTATGATATTGACTTTAAATGTAAACACCAAGAATCCACGTATAGACAATAATGTTCGCACCAAGAAAAATCCAGAAGAACATGGTATCCAACTGACCATGGGTCAAATTACAAAACATCATTGTCCATAAAGACGTTTTTCGCAGCTGTCCGAAATCATCATCCTCCTCACTGACGACAGAGATTCTATTAGAATTCCTCGCTGCTGCAGTCATTGAAGAAGTCCACGCCGACGATTTGTTCCTTTTCTTTGTTTCTTTATCAACCCTGCTCCGGCCTTCGGGATCAAATGCTGTGGCTTTTTCTCCTGAATTTTGAAAAGCCCTAACGTTGTTCTCCATTGAAAAAATCCAGTCCTTTTCTTTTTGATTTGAAGACTGATTATTTGGGGTTCTGGGTGGTTTATTCTTGGTTCCACGCAGTTTTTGCTTCTTCTCTTTGTTAAATCTGTTAAGGACAACAACAGTTGCAGCAGCGGCTAGAAAAATGACAACAACCGTCACTAGAATCAAGACCAGAAATCGAGGGATCTGGTTCATGCTCCTTGGAATCACATCGGTGATAATGCTAAGGAACATTGTCATGGACAAGAATATGGAGATGACGAAAGAGATTTTCTCTCCGGATTCGGCCGGCAGGCAGAACACCAGAAGTGTCATGGCAGACATCAAGACTAGAGGCGCCAGAAGTGTGGTCAGATAGAATCTTCGTTGTCGGGACATGACAAACCAACACTCTGTGTAATTCAAGTAGCTCTGTTGAAAGCAAAAACTTCATGTTAAAAATTTAGTAAAACAATTTATAACCTCTTCGCTGGGGGAAAAAATGATGAAAAGTTCTTACATGAAAGCAGGCGGTCACTCTAGAAGTCGTTGGATTTGGTGATATTAAAAAGTTTTTAAACCGACGCAGAATGACAAAAGCCATTGCTACATATCAAGCAATGGATCGCAAACTGTTCCTCCCCAAGCCGCTTAACGACAACATTTGGAAACTGATGATAACAACGATAATCATGATGATTATAATTAAACATAATTAAATTTACAGTTAAGAGCTGAACCCATAAGAACTATCACCTTCTCGTGTGGGTTCTGGAGACCCGTTGTGGGTGCAATACGAATAGACCCACAGCCTCCGCAAGGAGCATGTCGTATGTGTAGACTAATTGACGACATACTTCGAGGTCAAAGTCATCTGCATGAGAGGCAAGGAACTAAAAGTCTACATATATATAAGCCAGATGTGTGAAACGGACGTGCACGTAACACTCAGGTTCAGGGACAAGACATAGATATTATGGATATATGGATGCACAACTAAAACTTTCCTATGACGTTTACAAATGGTGAACGCTAATAATAATAATAATAATAATAATAATAATAATAATAATAATAATAATAATAATAATAATAATAATAATAATAATAATAATAATTATTATTATTATTATTATTATTATTATTATTATTATTATAAGAAAAAGAAGAAGAAGAAGAAGAAGAAGAAGAAGAAGAAGAAGAAGAAGAAGAAGAAGAAGAAGAAGAAGAAGAAGAAGAAGAAGAAGAAGAAGAAGAAGAAGAAGAAGAAGAAGAAGAAGAAGAAGAAGAAGAAGAAGAAGAAGAAGAAGAAGAAGAAGAAGAAGAAGAAGAAGAGAAAGAAGAAGAAGAAGAAGAAGAAGAAGAAGAAGAAGAAGAAGAAGAAGAAGAAGAAGAAGAAGAAGAAGAAGAAGAAGAAGAGGAGGAGGAGGAATTAGCACACCTGTACAAAGCCACAACCATGTCGCTCAAGCCTCCACTCGGCATTCTTGATGAAATGTGTCGCCATTCGATCAATGTGTGACACATCCATCTCAGGGTACACGGTGCTTCCTGTTGTCTCCAGAAATGAGATGGTGCAGTTGTGTCGATCGAAGGGGAAGTCCAACAAGTCCATAAAGCATGCGATCTCTTGAATCCCAGGTATCAAGGACATTACTAGGCCGTCAGGGGAGATCTAAATCAGAAATGAAAACTTCAGATATAGATCATTCAACATCTTCATTTGCATCATCATTTTCATTATATCATTACTACCATCGTCATCATCATCATCGTCATCATTATTATGATGATTATCGCACTGATAATCATCACCATAGCCATCGTGAGCATCATCATCATCATCATGAACAATATAATCATCATCACCACCACCATCATGATCATTAACGTCATCATCATCGTCGTAATTAGCAAAGTCATCATTAACATTAGCATCATCATTATCACCATCGTCACATCATCATCATTATCATCATCAGCATTGACAGCATTGTCATCATTACCATCCTCATCAGCAGCAGTAGCACTATCGGTGCCAAGTGCTTGCGGACATTTGCTCACTTTTTCACCCTTCAATGGTAGCATCTTCTTCATGTCTGTGGCTTGCAGCAGTTGTGACAATCTGACATTCTGATAATGTCTGTAGATTATAATAAACAAATTGACTGAAACTCAACTGAAAGGAAACGTTGAAGGCACATGAGTAAAAGGTGGACGATGATACAAGTAGACAGATAACATCAAGGTGCATGAGAAGCGCAATGTCAGAAACTGCCCCGAAATTTATTGCAAGCGTACCACCTGATTAGTCGGCTCTGTGCCTAAGTCGATGCGAACGCTCCGTAATACCGGGATGTCGGGTTCGATCCCAGCTGTGGGCCATGCGCCTTGCATTGGTTTCGACAGTGGTAACAAGAAAACCGACCGTCCAGAAAGCAATGACAAACTACTAAACGTAAATTTGCCTAGAAAAACCACACAACAGCCAGGTGCTGTTGGGATTGGTTCTGCAACGTCCTGCAAAGGATACGAAACTAGCATTAATCACCTGATTAGTCAAACTGGTACTCGTGGATGCAGCGTAAAGAGGTAAATTATGGTCAACACACTGTCATCATGTAGCAGGTCCCTTATAGAGCGTCGCTCCCATCACGGTCTGCCTGAAAGAAATTTGGAATCTCGCCAGTTCTCCCGCCTCGTGCATCTTCCTCCCAAAGTATCACAGTCTGTGCCCATCTTCGGCTGGTCTTGTTTGAGTTTTATATACATATACGTTAGACAGATCTGACTTATTTAAATGCAGACAGTTCACTGCCTCTGGGGTAGATACCCTCTGATTTCGAAGTAAGCACACCTAATGTATCTAATTTAACGGTCTGCTTATTTCGAGTGGGAAAGGGGTGACTGAGTGGGGGTGGGGTGGGGGGGGGGTGCTGAAGCATTGAATCTATTCTTCTCTCTCCCAACAATGTGGAGAAAGAAACTCGGTCTTTCGAGAGCTCTCCAGCCTCGTGCACTTTCATATTCAAGGAATCACTTATATCCTATGTCTATCTTTGTGTTGGTCTGCCCCAGCCTCTCCTTCCCGGTAACATACCTTCTGCTACTATTTTTTTTTTCCAATCCGCCACGGCGTTTGATATGACCAACATATTTCAGCTTCCGAGACAAGATGCTGTTTATTAGCCAATCTTCATCGATGCTCAGATCTTGTAAAGTTTCCGCATTTCTTCTATTCGTTGTCTGTTTTATTTTAAGAATCTTTCTATAGCATGTCAGCTCAAAAGTCCCCATTTTCGTTTTTAATAGCTGGAAGATAACCCATGACTCACATCCGTATGTCGCTACAGGGAAGATGCATGCTCTTAAAGTTTTTTGTCTGATTTCCCTTGCTGTTACTACGAGTCCAAAATTGAGTGGTTTCTATTTTTTAAGAAAAAAGATGATAATGGTGATTATAATAAAAACAGGAGGACGAGAAGGTGCGGGGGGGGGGGGGGGGGTAAGGAGCAGAAGGGCAAAGATGAGGATGGCGACTATAATTATTGTAGTAGAAGTAATGTTAAAATAAAAATAATAATAACAATAATAATACAAGGAAGTTGCGTATCCTTTGCAGTACGCTGCGGAACAAGCCCTACCAATTTTATGTTCTTTGATGTTTGAGATTTCACGAGCCTGTTTTACGTTCAGTAGTTTGCTATTGATTTATTACGGTCTGTTCTCGATTCCACTGTCGAAACCAATGCAAGGCGGTCTGCTGTCAAAACGCCAGCTGCTAGGGTCGAAGCTGGCATCTCGTTCTCAGCGCCTTAGCCAGAGATGCCGACAAAGAAATAATAATGATAATGATAATAAAAATGATAATGATAATAATAATAATAATAATTTTATGCTCAAGCAAGGTAGGACTCCTTACTTCAACTTTGTCAGAGAGTTCCAGATTTATGGAGGTCATGCTTCTGGGTATGACGATGGTGGGTATCCAAACCTCATGTGAATCCAACTGCACTGACGATATACCTGAAGAAAAACAAACCATGAATTTTGAATGAGTAAGTTATGAAATAGAGACTACCGTAGCCTAATGGCAATATTGCCTTCTTTATCATCTGATGACCATGCATTTGAAAATATGTCACCGGCTGGTGGAACTGTTAGAACGCTGAGCTCCTACGCAGATACCAGTGTTCGAATCCTTGGTAAGGCTGGGGATTTTTCCTGTTAATAATTTGTTCATCTGCTGAACCACCCCACGCTACACACACTACACAGCGCTGACTCACTTAAACCCCCCCCCCCCACGCTACACACACTACACCGCACTGACCCACTGAAACCCCCCCCCCTCCCCCACGCTACACACACTACACCGCGCTGACCAACTGAACCACCCCACGCTACACACACTACACTGCGCTCACCCACTGAACCACCCCACGCTACACACACTACACCGCGCTGACCCACTGAACCACCCCACGCTACGCACACTACACCGCGCTGACCCACTGAACCACCCCACGCTACACACACTATACCGCGCTGACCCACTGAACCACCTCACGCTACACACACTACACCGCGCTGACATACTGAATCACCCCACGCTACACACACTACACCGCGCTGACCCACTGAACCACCCCACGCTACACACACTACACCGCGCTGACCCACTGAACCACCCCACGCTACACACACTACACCGCGCTTACCCACTGAACCACTCAGCAGCATCCACATGACCCGTGGAAATCACACCTCACCGCGCTACCACACCATCTTGTGGCACACACATAACCCCACGGCACTTGATTATAAAGGGGATACAAACGACCTCTGTTAACAATAATAATACACCTATGACATGCTTGACCGCCCATATATCAGACCACCCATATATCAGACCACACATATCGATTTCTAGCTACCTCTAAAACCATGAACTACCGGCACCTAATCCTGAGATACCATATCCGCTCCCTTGCCATTGTATTATATGTGGCGACACTTCCATGACCTCTAAGTCCCTTCAGCTGACACACCAGCACCACGACTTAATTCCACAACTTCCTGTTTTGTTTTTCTTTAAAATAAAATCAAAGTTTTGCAGCATATGTCCAAATTATATATCTTTAAAAAAATGCACACAACGCAGCAACCATTGCTCGCAGACTGGTGGCGGCAGCACCTTTAGCAACTTTAACACCTTTAGCCCCTGGCACATAAAAGCTCCTTAAGACCTCGCTATAGTTCTACTCAGAGATTATTTATGCTTTTAGTCTATGTATTGCTGAGGCGAGTCTTTCTAAAACCTTATTTGCCCAGTCGAAGTTGTAATTTAATTACTGAGCCTAAATATTCAAAAAATGTGACATTTTCGATCACCTCGTTATCAGTTTTAATCCTCGGTTTGCGTGCCATCGCTATCAAGCCTGAAATGGCTACCAAGAAATGTGCTGAGATGTGAAGGCAGAATGCATTGTTTACCAAATATATGTCGGCTTTAGAGGAAGTGTCCCTTTATTATAACATTTGGGAATATCATTATTCTTAGAGTATAGTACGTCTGCGGCGTCCGTGGCTAAGGCGTTGCGTGTCTGACTCGCAATCCAACGTACCGCGATCGAGGGCTGCGTGGATTTTTATCGTGGTATGGGTCGACCCAGCCTCAAATAGGTCCAGGATGGGCTGTCCTGGGAAAGTAAAGACGGTCGGCGTAATGCTGAACACATTACCCACCGAGTGCTGATTGGTCTGTAAAAATATGCGTGCTCTTTCCATATGCCCGATGCGCCTAAGGGCGTGTAAAGGGATCTTTACTTTTTTTTTTTTTTTTTTACTATGGTACGTCTAGAAGAACTATAGGCGGGGAAACATTATTTACGTAGTCTAACAAAGAAACAATCTGACCAAGTACTATAGGTGGGGAAACATTATTTACATTGTCCGACAAAAAAACAATCTTACAAAAACATCGACGAAGCACATTTCATCCAACAATTAATCTGGCAAAAACTGGTTGGTTGACCAGTTCAGATACCTTGGAATTGTAACAGACCACAATGGAGGCTTCAAGTCAGAATTAGCTGCTCGAAAATCAACAACATAAATAGGGGGTTTCTCAGCAAAAGAGAAATTAGCAAGAGGACAAAAATAGCAAACCTCTACAGCCAAAGGTAGAAGAGGAGCGACTAAGTAAGTGTCTGCCAAAAACTGTAACCCCACTCGGTCAGCTGACGACAATGAACTCCGAGTTTTGTAAACCTAATGAAAGTCGCGTCGTTACATATGAGCCAAGGGTAAACCTTAAGTGCTTAGTGTTAAATTAAGAATAAATATTATACAACTCAAGACACTCCCATAAGCGTTCCGTCCCCATCTTCAACAGCAAGCGAAGAGTTACATTTCCGATGGTACCAGTAACTGTCTGATTGTACATCCGTCTTGCCTTTCCCTTGAGTCTTGAGCGTCGGTCAGATCCTTTAATAACACCCCATTCTCCTCAGACCGTAATGATCTATTTGTACCTCTGCACTGTTCACTCGCTCCCAAAAGGCGGTCACAATATCACATTTGTCATATATCACTTCAGCAACGAGTAGTGCTGAACCCTCCAGTCCAATTGCATGTTTTCCAACTCAAGCCCAACACAGAGACAATATCCATAGGACCTAACTACCAGGGATCTATGAAGCGATGTTGGCCACTCTGCACGGAAGCAGCTAGGTAGTTGCACCCCACCAGGACATCACACAAGCGATAAACATCCGGTGACACAAAGTGCCATCATGCGGATGAGGTTTACCCGTGGAGAGGTCCCAGCAACCCCTCTGAGTCATATCTTTAACCTAGGCCATATTTATGGCCCGGCTATGTTCATTGCTAAAATATGCAGGGCTTGATTCTGCAGCGTCATGTAAAACAATCCTATCTAAATTACGCTGGAGTTGATTCTGCAACATCATGTAAAACAATGTCATCTTACTTATACTGAAGTTGATTTTGCAACGTCATGTAAAACAATGTCACCTAACGTATGCTAAGGTTGATTCTGCAACGTCATGTAAAACAATGTCACCTAACGTATGCTAAGGTTGATTCTGCAACGTCATGTAAAACAATGTCACCTAACGTATGCTAAGGTTGATTCTGCAACGTCATGTAAAACAATGTCACCTAACGTATGCTAGAGTTGATTCTGCAACGTCATGTAAAAACAATCTTATCTATCTTATTATAAATTCACCGTTGTATTGAGAAGGGTCCCAGTGGATATCGAAGTACTTCCAATAAAGTAGCAGCACTGAGAGAACCTGCACGGACTGATTGAGTTCATCCACATCGATGATCTGAAACGCCCTGAATGTCAGCAGTAACGTTAGGTTGCCTGCGATGTTTACTGGAAGCTTGTGTTTGATGGAATCAGTGCTTCGAACATAATTTTCTAGGCTGATGTATGATTCCATGGGCGTTGTTGCCCTTATCCAGGTGATGTGGATTATTGTCAAAATATAAATAACGGTCACAACCTCTTTAAGAGCGCCTTTCAGCATTATATTTTATTGCTTATTGCTCTTATTTTAGCGCAGCCTAAATCGTATTAGCTATACTATTTCCGTAAACTAAACTCTAAACATTTTTTTCTGCACCTAGATAAAATAAATACACAAATAAATAGACAAATTAATTAATTTATTAAGAAATCCAACAAAGATCCTAAAGAGTCAATCACGTTGGCCAAATGGTACCAATTTTGAAATGTAAGCATGTGAATATGAACACTAAAAGAACACTGCTTAACACAAAATTCTTATCAACGATATGTTGTCAACAATGGCAAGACCCTGTCTTGAGAAGACAGAAGGTAAAATAATCAGGACAGAATAAAATGCTTACTTACAATGCTAAAACAGAATGACTTAGCAACGATGATATCGGGGGAAGAGTCGACACAGATCATGTACTGAACTTTATAGGTAGACAAAAAAGGAAATGGTTTAGCCATGTAACAGAATTGACATCAGATGTAGCACCACAGAGAGCAATGTTACACATAGACAGCAGTAACAGAGCCAGAGGTCGACTACGCAGAATATGGACCGCAGAAATATCAGAGATACTGAAAAGTACTTTTTTATACGAAGGGAACTGAAGGGCCCGTTCCAAAGATCTCTTCATGCCTTGACGCCGGGAGGCAATCCATGAATAGAGAAAAGAAGAAGAAGTGTCGAAAACAAGGAAAACAAGAAAAAAGAGGCTAACTCGAGCAACAAATTCTGAAGAAGTCGGATGTGTCGGCCCACAGGCACAAATATCGCTATGATTTGAACGGGCACAAAACATTTACGTATTCAGAGGGACGCAGAAGAAGAAACTCGATGAAATTAAGTCGATCCTTTGGAGTTTAACTTTACGACATGTATCAAATAAGTAGTAGCATCGACTATTCTTATCCCCGTGTGGGTTTCCGGGTCCCCATTATAGGGAATAAAGAATAGACACACTGTCTCCCTAACAAGCATGTCGTAAAAGTCGACTGATTTTAGGTGGTTCCTTCGAAGTCGGAGTAAAACTGGCTGAGAGGCTAGGAACCATCAGTCTGCACACAAATACAGTTAGTTACGCATTTTCTACAGGACGTTGTAAGCCCAACACAAGCATTTTTTGGCTGTTGCGATTTTTCAAGGGAAATTGACATCCAGTAGTTTGTCATTGCTTTCTAGACTGTCGTCTCTCGATACCACTGTGGGAACGAACGCAAGACGTTTTGCTGCCCAATTATATGCAGGTGGGATCGAACCTGGCACCCCAACATTACAAAGCGCGTTCGTAACGCCTAAGCCACAGATACCGACGCACTGAAATAAGCGAAATCTTTAAAACGTATGTGCATACAAAAGTCAAATTCTGTTTAGTAAAGTAAAGATCATTTTTCACGCCTTTAGGCGCATCAGTCAGATGGGAAAAGCGCCTATATTTTGTATTATGTTTACAGACCAATCGGCAGTGGGTTAGTAATGTGGTCAGCCAGAAGTTCTATACAGGGCGAACGTAATATCGTGAGCTTAAAACATAATATTCCACTCATATTATGAGCTGAAAGCCTGATATTCCATGCAAATCAGTTGTGAAACAAACTAAAGTCCAGAACAATCAAAACTGTCCACCGGAGTCTAAAGCCGGTCAGCACGAAGAACACAAATAAGAAAAACAACATTCTGACAAGCAAACTATGCCAAAACGGCATCGACCACGAGACTAACAAAAAGCCGATAACTCTATTCATAGTTTGGCATCACATATATATTAGTATCGTCATCGGCCACCGGGTGGCCCACTGGCTCGCTGGTAGACGACTTCGTCGCCGGTCGCGACGGTATTTGGGTTTGTCTCCTCTGATCGCATCAACACTGCCTGAGTCCTTTTCATGGCTCTTTGTAGCTTGCAATGATAAGCGATTTCATGTGGCGCAAATAACCTAGTCACAATTATAATCAAAGCTTTCCCTGTGAGGATGCTGGTTGAACGTGACGATTCTTTTTGTTTCCTGTACCGACCTACCTGCCTACCTTCCATACACGTAAAGCATTTTTGTAATATGGCACTTTACTTAACACTTCCCACAGTTTTAAAAGAAAATATTTTATAGACATGAACATTTATAACCAGATATTGAAACTTCAGAAATGTTTGTAGATAACACTTAACAAGCTGGGCCATCGACAACTTAGCAACACTACAGATAAGTGAAGGTTTAAAATCTAAATCATCCAACAAGAGCAACCATTGGCTGTTTCTGAATATACAGAACACGATAAACTATTGGCTGTTAGTGACTCAGTAATTAAATCAATGTGTGAGTAACGGAGGGAACACACTTGATATGTTAGTTTTTTATGTTGTACGTGTGTATGTATATGAGTGAGTGTGTTTGTGTGTGTGTGAATGTGTGTGTGCGTGTAAATGTGTGTGTGAGAGCCCGCGCATCACTTTTTAGGATATTACCCTAGGCACCAGACAAGCAAAGTAAAGGACCCTTTCACACGATCTCGAGCGTTTTGGGCATAACGGGTGAGACATATTATATAGACCAATCAGAACTAGGTGGCTGATATCATCAGTATCTCTCCGACCGCCTTTACTTCTCAGGACTGTACCTGACACCTATTTAAGGCTGGGCTGACCTGAGAGCTGAGAACTACTAGATGATTACTATAAGAAAGGATTATTGCATTTTGCACTTCTTCTTGACGTTTAGCGGCTGTAAACTCCAGCAGAAAGTTTCGGTTGTTCTTTCACATCTAGACTTTATTCTTGTTCCACAAACCTGAGTGTTACGTGCACATCTGTTTTACAAGTCTGTCTTCTGTGTACACAGATTGTTGGCTCCTTTCCTATCAGGCAGATGCAATCCGACTTCGAAGGAATTATCATGTTAGTCAACTCTTACGACATGCTTGCTGAGGCAGCAGGTCTATTCTTGTCTGCGCCACAATAGGGTCCCGGAATACACAAGAAATGTTGCTTTCTAAACTTCATCATCATCATGTAGCAGGTCTCTTGCAGAACGTCGCTCTCATCATTGTATTCCTGAAAGAAACTCAGTCTCTCGCCAGTTCTCCCGCCTCATGTACTTTCATACTCAAGGAGTTACTTATAACCTGTGGCCATCTTCGTGTTGGTTGGCCCCTGTCCCTCCTTCTTGGTACCATGCCTTCTGCTTTAATTTTTTCCATTATGTCGTGGTGTTTTGAGTTTCATTTTTGGCTTCCATGATGAGTTTCTTGGGATAGTAATGTCGTAGTTTCCCGTTGCTTTTCACATCCACATGGCTTTAGAATACGTCCTCAGCCTTTAGCAACCTTTTCGATTACTAGGTCAAGTGAGTGCCCTGCTCTGTGATGCTCCTGCTAACAGCAGAGGGCACCCCAGAGGTGTCCACTTATCCCTGTGGATACTCGGTCCCCATAGCTGCGTTGGCCATACCGCAGAATCCAGTCTGCTGTCACGTTGTTGTCATGTATCTGCTGCTCTAGTTAGCGACATCCCTACACATAAAGAGTCCAGTCTGCTGTCACGTTGTTGTCATGTATCTGCTGCTCTAGTTAGCGACATCCCTACAACTATAGAATCCAGTTTGCTGTCACGTTGTTGTGATGTATCTGCTGCTCTAGTTTGCATCCTCCCTATGAGTACATAATCCACACTCTCTCTTTGTTTGTGTGTGCGTGTATGTGTGTCTGTGTGTGTGCGTGCGTGATCAATTCTTTATCAGGAAATAAGGAATACATCGAGAAATTTTTTTTAAATAGCGAATTGGGGAAATTATCTCCATTGTTTAAAGAATTCTTTTTTTTTTTTTTTAATTGAAAAAAAAAAAACTTTTTTTCAATAGCTGTATAAAAAAATTGCACATAAAAAAATACAACAACAACAAAAAATTCGGAATATTTAGTCGCCATATTTCATTGTCATCCACAAAATATCTGCTCGACACTTTATCGGGAAATAGTATACAAATCGAACGCGAAAATTATACCAGATATACAAACACACAAAAGTAAACCCACTAAAAGCTATGTGTTCATAATATTCCTTACGTCCTTCTTAGGACGTAATTTTTTGTTATTTGAACCCCACTCTGGCTTTTGCCAGGGGCCGCAATATGGGCAGGCCATCAATGTGGCCAGTTGCCTGAACGGGGTTTCTGGGACCTCTCCACGGTGATCCTCATCCGCATGGTGGCACTTTGTGTCATCGGGTGTTTATCGCTTGTGTGATGTCCTGGTGGGGTGGAAAGTCAGTCAGTCAGTCAAAGATATATGTATACATTTTGCCGTCCTTTTATATGAGAAAATTATTTGTTATTTGAGGCCCCACCCTGGCTCTTATAGCGCAATATAGCTAGGCCATAAATATGGTCTAATGGCTGAACGCGGTTTCTGTGACCTCTCCACGGTGATCCACATCCACATGGTGGCATATTGTGTCATCGGGTGTTTATCGCTTGTGTGATGTCCTGGTGGGGAGCAAGTCAGTCAATAAAAGCTAAGATAACAATCGTGCTCCTGGTGGGGGAGGCAAGCTCATTGTTGGGGGAGGTGGAGACTGGAGGTTTAGACAACATGAGCTCCCCGCCTTCCCCACCCCCTTCCTCCCCAAACCATCCCTAGCAGTTATTTTGAGGAGACAGAGACATTCGTCTTTATACATATTTGTAATGGAGTAAAGTGATCCTTCTAGCTATTTACAGACATTCTCATTTTAAGGGTTTTTCTTTATATATTTTATATTATTCAACAAATACTTATATATTCATTTAGCATTCAGCATCTAATAATAATAAGGAGAAGCCTGAGGCGAGGAGTCTTAATGGGCCTAATCCTAATTTAAGTACGCAATAATAATAGTTGTAAGAAAACTAAACTGTAAGCTTTTCTTCTTTTTCTTCTTCGTTTTCTTATTATTATTATTATTATTATTATTACTATTATTTTTTTTTCTTCTTTTTCTTCTTTTTCTTCTTCTTCTTCTTCTTCTTCTTCTTCTTCTT